AAGACGTGGACATGCTTATGAAATTTTTTGCGTAGGCTGCACAAAAAACAAATGATAATAATAATTTTGGATGGCATGGTTTACTGTCATCAAGTGTCATACATACAATATGACCTACTTCAATTCACACCATAACATATGACAACTAACCATGTTGATACTTAAGCTCTGGGAACAATGTTATGCGGATATTTATGTCGAACGTGCCATGATTAAACATTGAGCAATGGCATATATGAATTGTTGTGACATGCCAATACATAGCACATGACAATGAGCATGCAGAAAAAATAGCTCTTAATTATATTAGTTCTTCTTATAATAGAAAAACCAATATTCCGCCCTTCTCTTAATTTTTAAGAATAAAGTCTTTTACTAATGGCAAACAATCGATAAAAATTAAAAAAGCTTCCTACCAATCACTCAAACTTTATATGGCATTGCAATTGTCAGTGTACATAACCCACTTGAAAATGTCAATAAAAATGCATTTACGATAATAAAGGCATTAAATAGAATCACTACATGTTCTGTTTTTTTTTTTTTTTTTGATCCCCAAATCGAACACCAATCCCCCTGCAAAATTCCAAGCCATTATCAATAAAACAAATCAAATAATAAACAGGGTAAAGAGCCGATAAAAAAAAAATACAGAACAATGAAACTAACCTAGCGTTCGTTCTTTTTAAAGACCATGCGATTTAGATAAACTATCAGTCTGTAGAGAACAACTTAACAAAGATAAGAGAAAAATGCAAAAAGTTAATCATTTCCTAGCAAAAAGAGGTAAAATATTATATAATTATTTGGTGCAAATAAATACAGAGAGAGAGAGTGACGAATGTTGGTTAACAAAGGTTTCTAAAACATTTATTACTTTTTAAGAATTGGTTATTAAACAGAAAAAAATGTTCTTAAGCCTCTAAAAAAAGTGGTGGCAACAGCCAAAGCTATGTTGATAAACATGAAGTTGTGCAACATGCTGAAATGTTGATAAAACCACTCAAACACGGCTTTGTTCTCCCAATATCATTAGCATATATATTTTTTAAAATTAATACTGAGTTGAATATTTAAGTCACGTTTATAGAACTTAAATTTCTGCGAATTAAAGATAAATATTGAGGAAACCTTAAAAAAACTTTTTGAGATGTTGTTAAGACAATACAAACTGTTGCCAAGGCATTGTGTCATGTTGCTCTGACACTGTAAGATGTTGCTAATACAACACGGTTACATTTTTGTTAAACATGGTCTTTCAAAATTTTTAGCAACATCTCACAGAGTCTTTGCAACATTGCACAACGTTTTTCGATATGTAAAAAACTAATTTTCGAAGAATATGTTTATTTAAGATGAGATTGTGTTGAATCACCAGTCAGAGCTCTGTTGATGAAACATAGAGTTGTGCAACACACAGAAATGTTGATGTAACGCTCTCATATAAATCTTTGTACTCCTAATATAATTAAATGACATTTTTTCAGAAGATAAATACTGGCCTATAAACATTTAAGAGATGTTGATATAAAATTCGACGATTTGAAGAATCATGCAGAAAGCTTGATTTATGTTGCTAAGATTTTGTGAGGTGTTGCTAACATAATATAAATTGTTGCCAACGCACTGAGATACATTAATCAATGTTGCTAAGACCTTGTGATATGTTGTTAAGCCAATGACACTTGTTGTCAAGACATTGCAAGATGTTGAGTAATGTTGCAAAGGTTTTTGAGGTGTTGAATGATGTTGCTTAGAGTTTGTAAGACGTTGTTAAGACAATAACAATTACTTCCAAAACATAATTAAATAATAATAGTTACCACGACATTGTGAGATGCAGATGTAAAATGGTTAAACTTATTTTAGCCAAGTAAATTATTTATAGCAGAAACGCAAATAAATCAAATATTAAGCAAAAATGTGTTGCAAATACAGGGTATGTGAAGGTATTTGTTGGACAAAGTTTTCTAAATATGCATTTAAAAAAAATTAACGTTGGAGGAACTTGTCTTAAACGTGTTGATACATACAAATTGTTGCAAAGACATTGAGAGATATTGCGCAATGTTGCTAAGTGATATATTTCTATGGCAACATAAATTGTTGCCAAGACATTGCGTTATGTTGCTAAAACAATGACAATTGTTGCCAAGACATTGGGAGATGTTGAGAAATGTGGCTAAGACTTTGAGAGATGTTTCTAAGACATTTGTTGCCAAGACATTGTAAGAGGTTAATTTAACATTGTCATATGACTATACAGTAACTAAGGTTAAAGGGCATAATTCATAGCATTTAATGTTTCGCCCATAAGAAAAAAAATGTTAGGCAACTTTTTATGGTTTCCTTATAATCAAATTTGGCAACTTTTGTAACCTCTTTAGGAATACTATTTATATCACATTACATATATTTTTAACCATTTTAAAACCTAATTTTCCTTGCTATTTTCATTTGATATAAATTCGTTAATAACACAATCTCAATCTGTTTTTTTTTTCGTTTTCCATTTGTGGTTTCTCTCGTGTAATATAAGTAAATCAACCAAGAACACTTTTGACCCCCCAAGCGTTTTACAATAACCGCAATTATAAAATTACTTTTTATTACGGAACAATGGTTTAGCCTCTAAGTCATTTTCAAGATATTAACTGATATACTGACTACTAGTTCATCTATCTTTATCGCGGGGGAAAAACGCAATCTATTTAACAGAAAACAGCTCACACCACATCACATCACATATTGGTGGCTTTGTCACTTGAAATAAATAAAAACTATATTTCCTTAAGTGTGCAATTGTTTAAATAGATTAAGATACTAACGTTTGCCTGTTGTACTTCAGACTTGGGTAAATAAATATTTGTGCTTAATTTATTTCAGAGAAGATGAACTTTTTTTTAAAAAAAACGTAATTGTAGAATAGACTGATATACTAAGTATATAGTCTAAATGTATTTTATCAACAATTGAGATTTCAAGGGGCGATTTTTTAAAGGATCAAATTCTGCAATCATATTTTAATCACATTTTATATGTAGTGCTTTATGCAATATATCTTGGTTGTCTTCAGAATAATAAAAAAATTGCAGGCCGAGTATATTCAATTACACTTGGAATTTTCAATGAAAGAGTGAAATTATAGGAAATTTTTATAAAAAGTGGTACATATGAAGAAAATGAATATCTTTTGTTCCGAGACTCATAATGAAATTTGATCTAGAAAAATTCCTTTTTTGATACTATCCTCAAGAAATTAATTAGAATTTCGAATGTAATTTTTTTAAGGCTATTATAAACAGATATTTGGCTAATTCTGAGATTTATAATAACATTTTGTGTAGAATATTTCTTCTTTGGACATTTTCTGCCTAAAACGAAATTTGATGTTACTTTCATGCATCAACTTGAAAAAAGATCGAGGGAAAAACTGATCAACCAATTTGGGGAATATTTTCGGAAATTTTGGCAACATTTCTATATATATATTTTCTATATATATTATAGAAATAGAGATTTCTTTTCTTTGGTGACTTATAGTGAAGAACATTCTTGTCTTTGATGATATCCTTATTTTATATTAACTCCAATACAGTTCGCCTTTAACCCAGGAGAGAGAGGAGAGTCAGATTTGAACTTTATTTGATGACAAATAAATTTGTTTTGAAAAATGGGCCAAAAAAAGACCCTTTTGGTGACTCGCTTGAGGGTTAACCATTTTCTAACAAAATTATCACCGTATTGCTATTAGTAACTTTACTAAAATAAACGGAAACTTAATTCGAAAAAGGAAGCATGGTGCCCCCTCTATTATATCGCACAGGGATAGAAGACGGCTGAAGGGTCGGCTTCTAGCGATAAAATAAATGCCTTTTTAAAGGATCACCAATCTAGAAATTATCGCTGAAATTCTGAAATGTTGGGACATAGTTTATAAGAATACCCATTGGTCTTCTATGGGAAGATAATATCGTCTCCTGTGAGAAGATCCTTTGTCCTTCTATAAGAATATCCTATGAGAATCCTTTTACGTCTCCTATGAACATATTCTTTTATGAGAAAATCTTTGTTCTTCGATGAGAATACCCTTTGCTCTTCTATAAGAAGATCCTTTGGTCCTCTATGCGAAACTTATTTGGTCTTCTATGGGAAGACCATTTGGTCCTATATGAGAGCGTCTTTTCCATGAGAAAACCCTTTGGTCTTCAATGTGAAATCTCTTCTGTGAGAAAATACTTTTCTCTTCTATGAGAAGACCTTCTGATCTTCTGTGATAAGACACATTGGTCTCCTATGAAAAGACCCTTTGGCCTTCTATAAGAAGAACCTTTGCTTTTCTATAAGAAAATGCACGAGAAGATCCTTTGGTCCTGTATGAGAAACTTATTTGGTCTTCTATGGGAAGTCCATTTGATCTTATATGAGAGCGTCTTTTGGTCTTCAACGAAAATATTCTTCCATGAGAAGACCCTTTGGTCTTCAAATGAGAAATCTCTTTGGTTTTATGTGAGAAGACCTTTTGATCTTCTGTGATAAGACATATTGGTCCCTATGAAAATACCCTTTGGGCCTTTGGTCTTTCATGGATCGTCTTGATCGTCTGTGAGAAGACCCATTGGTCTTCAATGAGAAAACCCTTTGATTTTCAGTGAGAAACACCTTTGGCCTTCTAAGAGGAACCACTTTGGTCCTCTATGAGAAGACCCTTTGATTTTCTGTGAGAAGACCCTTTGGTCTTGTATGAATAGATTATTTGTGTTGTATGAGAAGATCCTTGTGTCTTCTATAAAAAAAAACCCTTTGATCTTCTTCTTCTATGAGAAGATCTTTTTTCCTTATATGAGAAATTTACACAAAAAAATCGTAATTAATTTGGTAGTTATCTGTTTTTTTTTAAGATGAGCTAAACTTACTAACTGAAATATTAGGAACCTAACCCTTTTGGCTTAAAAATATGTATTTCTTTAATTAAAAAAAGGAGTGGTTTCGGTACTTACTTGTTAGTTCACTGGCATCTTCGGCAAATGTTAAATATCCTTTATTCATATCTTGTTGATTGACCGCTTCTGTCTGCTGCTGCTGTGGATTTTGTTGTTGTTGGTGCTGCTGTTGATGATGCTTAGCAAATATGGATGCAGTGGTTGTGGTCAAGGGTATATGTTGGGATCGGGGTGCAAATACAGATGCCGTCACCGATTGTGCACCACCCAAAGGATTAACATTCAAAGCAGTTGCTGTTGTTGTTGGTTGCAATTGTAAAATTGCCTGGGTCGATGTGGTTGTTGGTAAATTCACACCGTGTTGCAAGACGGCCGATGTTGCCGGACGTAAAATCGAAGAGGTTACTGTCTTGGGACCCTTGTCATCGGCGTATTTGGACAAGGATTTATTTTCGAATATGGCCCGGGTAACCGTGGAAGCTGGCGGTGGGGGTTTGTTATTTTCGAAAATGGTACGCGTAACCGTGGTGGTGGGACAATGTAAATTTGTTGTTGTGCCTGTTGCTGCGGCAATTGCTTGTGGCAACAGGGATGGGTTATTATTATCTGTGGGATTGTTATTATAATTTTTATATAAAATTGGTTTTTGTGGTTCAATTGTATTATTGTTGCTGTTGTTGGGAGTAATTGGATTTGGTGTTGCTGCAGCAGTAACTACAACAGGTGGTGTTTGTTCACGTTTGATTTGTATGGAATTGAATGAATTCTCAGTAATTTCTGGTGGCTTATTTGAATTGTTAGCAATATTCTTGTTGTTGCCGTTGTTATTGAGTGGTATTTCGATTTTATGCTCCTTGTTGTCTTCAAGTTTTTCTGCTTTTTGTTGTTGTGGAGCCGATTTAATTTCTTTTGTATTAATATTTAAAATCTCATTTTTGTTGTTACAGCCAGTATTGTTGTTGTTGTTATTACTTCCTTTGATGTCTTCAACAAGTTTAAGTTTTTGCGACTCTTCGTATTGTTGCAAAGTATAAATTTCATGCTTATTCTCCAGATTACTAAAAAATCCAAATTAAATCCGCACACAATTATAGAGACGTTGTTTTCACTTTGGTTTTTTATTAAATAATTAATTTTGTTTTATTTAATTTCTAATTAATTATGCAGGAATAAAATTCTATACTGCTTTCGTTTTGCGTGTTTTTTTTTTATTTCGTTTTCTTATTCTTTTCGATCATCAAACAAAGCACGTGATAATTTAATTAAATATCGAGAGTAGTGGAATAGGCGCGCGGCGAGAGGAGATGTAATAATGCTATTTTATTTTGTTTCATTCCTCAAACAAAAAAAAATAGTTTACAACCAACCTATTCTGCCATGTGTGTGTGGGTGTGTACAACAACAATACACATCGAACACACATATAAAACTGCATTTCTTTTTTGTAAAAAAGAAAAAAGGAGAAAAAAAAAAACAACAACGACAACCACACAAATACATGGAGATTTTGCAATGAACTGAGAAGAGATAAATGGAATACGGAGAAAAATTACTCTCAAATGCATTGCAAAGATAAGTGCAATTACTGAGTAATTGTAACTCAAAAACTATGGAGAGAATAACAGAGAAATGGTAGAGATCGAAGAGGTAATATTTTTTTGTTTTGTAATTTGAGTGAATTGCATTGGAGACTTTCATTCAAGTGAGTCATAGAGAGAAATTGCCAAATAGTTTTATAGAAACTACAATCAGTTACAGTTTCGAAATTAATGGCAGGGATGGGAGTTCATGTATATGAGCTGTTCTAAAAGGTGTTCTACATTCATAGCGGATTTTTTCTATGGGTAGACCACCGAAGAGGCTGATGTAGAGTAAACATCTTCTGACAGGATATCTATAAATGAGTTTTTTCTAGGGATACATGACAAATTTGTAGAAAATCTCTAGAAGACTTCATTGTTATCATTAAAAAATCCAGGAAAAATGTTTCTAAAATTTCATTAAAGATCGCCATCTGTAGAAAAAGCTCTACCAAGGCCTTCCATCTACAAAATAGATCGGAAGACTTTCGAAAGCTCTCTTAGAAAGCCTGCATCTAAACAAGGCCTCTTCAGGGGCATTATTTGTATAAAATACTTCTGAAAGGTATTTTAACTTAAGAATGCCGATCACAGTCTTCTATTTAAAAATACACTTGTATGACCTTCCGTCTTAAGAGATCTGTTCCATCGGTTCTCGGTCCATTAAACGTTCGATTCATTAAGGATCAGGTTAAAAGTCTTTTATCCATAGGAGAGAGAAGTTTGTTCCACAAGAGGCCTATTAAGGGAATACAAAATATATCAGAACTCTCAAAAGTCGTCCCTATTTAAGGACTCCCCTGAGAACTTTTTTCAATAAATTATATCTTAAAGGTGTTTATCTATAGAAGACCGATTACAGGGCTTATATCCGTATGGAAGTCTCCGGTCATTGGAAGATCTCTTCGATCTACCTCGTATAAGGATATCTTTTTTTCTCAAAGTTCTTTGATCATTAGAAGATCTATTGAAGAGCTTTTTGCTTAAAGAAGAGCTTTTAAATGTTTTCACCCAAGATCGTCGCATGCAAACGAGCTTTTTAAGATCTTCTGTCTGTAGAAACATTTTAAAAGGAAGTTTATGTAGAAGAGCTTTAAAGGGCATTTTATACAAAGAAGAACTTTTTACAATAATTTCAAAGGCTTAAAAAATGCCTATGTTAATGGAAGAGCTTATAATGTTATCCTGTCTATATAGGAGCTTTTACAGCTATTTTATACCCAGATAAGCTTTAAAGGAGAAGATCTATTAAAGTTGTTCGATATATAGAAGAATTTTGAAAAGTTTTTAATATTAGAGCTTTTAAAGATCACCTGCTTATGAACGATCTTTTAATTGTATTCATTTAATAAAATGTTCAGCATATAGGGGAGCTTTGATAAATTTTCTGTACAAAAGGGAGACTCGTAATGTAATTCTGTGTAAGAAAAGCCCTGCTGTCTATATGGAAACTCGGTATATATAGAGCTTTTTTATATTTCCTGTACAATGGAGGACTTGTAATGGTATTCTGTCTATGAAAAGCTTTTAAAGTCCTCCTGTCTTTTTGAGAGCTTGACATGATATTTGGTGTACATAATAGCTTTTAAGGGTCTTCTGACTGCAGAAAATCTTTAAAAAAATATACCTTTTAAAGGTATTCCGTTTTTAGAAACACTTTTATAGGAATTTCGTCTACGGAGCAGCTTTTAATAGTTTTCTGTTTACTGAGGAGCTTTTAAGTATGTATAAAAATTTAAAAAATATTCTGTGTATATAATGGTTTTGCATGTTTTCTGTCTATATGAGATCCTATAGAAAAGTCTTTGAGGTTTTCAGTCTATAGAAAACTGTTTAACGATCTAGTACCTATAGTTATGGATGGTTTAATTAGCTATAGAGGATCTGGTCTTTGAAAACCTTTGGTCTATAGAAAAGCTTTTAAAAAAAACATTTGTCTACACAAGTTATCATAAAGGCCTTCTGTCCATAGACGACTTTTTAAAAGTTATCTGTCTATGGAAGGCATATTTATGGAGTACCTATTGATCAGTGCTCTATTTATGGATGACCTATTCCAAGAAAGTTGTGAAAATTAAAGAAATTATATCGAAAGATTCAATTAGTTCATTTTTTATAACTAGAAAAAAAAAAAAACAATTGCGGAAATTACATTGAAATTATTTATATTGTAATGTGAATATTGCGAAAAAAAAGACTACTTCATCTATATATATATGGTTACATAACCTCCCATTTGCCTAATTAGAGCTTAGCACCACACCGCTGCAATTACGATTTTCTCAGTGAATACAATTATTAAGAGAAAAACATTGAATTTAAATTGTGCTTTACTCTTTTATTACAATGTAATTACTTGGGAATTACTCTTGTTCTCTTGTAAAGTATGTAAGAGTTATAAGATAATAAAATGAAGGGAAAAATACAGATTCTCTGATCTTGCTGATGTACGTGCAAAATGTGTTCTCTTACATCTGAGCGCAAAAATGAGATATTTTGTAAAATTTGCGCAGAAAAAATTCAAGAGTAAGACCTTTTTTCATTGAAATTTTAAAAACGTTAATTTTCTCTTATTTGTTAGATTATCTCCGATCGCTAAGAAGATAAGCCGAAAATTGCAATTCTGTTATCATTTTTTTTAATTACAATTTACCTCTAATTTTCTCTCTTTTTCATCCATTTCCACACTCTTTTACACGAGGTTACAACATCGTAAGAGCATGTTGTTTTCATTGCACTGTTGTGTACAGGCGTTTTAGTAGCCTGCACACATAGAGTAGAGTCATGAGATAAAAATTCCATTGACGAATCAGTTTTACATGACAACAACAAAAAAGCAATGCAAATTTGCATTTTCTTATTGTTGCTGCTGTTGCTGTTGTATTTTGTGTGGTTTCTCATATATTTTTTTCCTGTTGCAGCAGCAGTAGTGTTACGAATAAAAAAAGACCGGCAAAATTTTTTTCATTTGTTTGCAGAAATTTTGTTCGATGGTTGTTGTCGTCTTTCTTCTTTTTCTTTCCTGAGGTGCCTTATTGACCTCTTTTATTGTTGTTTCTTTTTTGATATTTTTGTTTTGTGTTTTCTGTACGGTCGTATGCAATTTAAAAAGAAGCAAATTGCATTCGTCACCGCACCTCCGCTGCCATTAAGAGATGGCAACAATTAATGCTTGATTGCAAATACAAATTGTGTTGTTTTTTGTTCGCGATTTTTTTTTCGTTCAATTTCAGAATGAAACAAATAGCAGAGAAACAAATTTAAGATATTCTCATATGTTTTATAATTCGAAATATATTATTTGTAGTTTTTTGTTTTGTGGTTTGGTAATCCAAAAAATATTTTCTTTTTGCATTGTTTTTAATATTTTTTGTTTGATGTTAAAATTGTTTAATTGGGTTTAAAATTAATATTTAATAGATAATTATAAAATAATAATAGGAATTTAATATGATTATAATAAATATTATTATTATTATTATTATTATTATTATTATTATTATTATATTATTATTATTATTATTATTATTATTATTATTATTATTATTATTATTATTATTATTATTATTATTATTATTATTATTATTATTATTATTATTATTATTATTATTATTATTATAACTATTATTATTATTTATTGTTGTTGTTATTACTATTGTTTTTAATAAAAGATAAAAGTGTTAATGAGTTGTTGTTGCTTGTTGCCTACTTCATAAATAACCTATATTATATATGCTAATTTTGTTTGGCATATTTAATTAAAAAAAATTAAATTAACTATTTTTAAACCAAAAAATCCAATATATGTTTCATAGAAATAATGTTTTGTTTTTGTCTTTGCCTATTGGGGAATATACAAAAATATATTTAAATCGTGAGGAATTTAGAGAGAAGACTTTATTATAAAATACGGGCAGATAAGAAAAATTCTACAATTTCGTCAAAATTCATTGGTTTCAAAATTCTAAAATGTGGAATTTGAAAAAACAAATACTTTGAAGCATTTTGGTAAAGTTTTACTCCCTTGGCATGTCTAAATTAAAATAAATATTTTTTTTGTATGTAGACTCATTACCAAATAATGAGGTAATTAAGTACTTATTGTCACCAGTAACTACTAACAAAACATCATCCTAAACCCCTCACAGTTATGACATGTCCGTCTTAAAATAAGGGGCTAGGATGTTGTTTGTGTGAGTAATTACTGTTGTCGAAATGTATTTAATTAACTCATTATTTGGTAATGGGTTTTCAATTTCATGCATTTCTTATAAAAATTTACTCCAGCATTTTTTTTGGCCTTGTAAATGCCAAAGGGCTTAACACATTATTTTGTGGCCTACTGGTAATGCAGAAGGTATGTTGTTTGTCATTATCAGTTGACTACCAAATGTTTGCTGGGTATATGTTAGTATATGTTCAAACAAGTAAAAAAGTTCGGCCGGACCGAATAATAAAAATTGAAGAATTTCAAAAAAAAAAAAAAAAATCC